ACTGACGAAATGATGAAGTTTCGTAAATTTAATTATACTACAAACACTATTGCCTACTTCACATCTGCTTATGTTAACATTTAGTGTGTCTGAATATCTTGGCTAGATACAAACTTACATAATTTTAAAAATATATATAGGTAACATATAAATTATTTTGAAAATGATGAACGTTCGCAGGTTCGTTAATTTTGAAGAAACTCAATGTTTTGAGATGTGTAAAATTAAAATTCACGCTTGTCGTGCAAATACGGCTAGGCTTCGACTTCGATGTCAGTGAAAGCATTGAGTATATCGGTACAAAGTGAGAACAAATACCTGCAGGACCCCATACAACACGAATCACGAGGCTCTCGAGGTAACCAGCGCTGGGAGGTGCAGTCTTAGGGGAATCTTAATAAGAGGGTACTTGCCAATTTATTTATGTCCTGTTGAAACGAATTGGGGGACGTGGCTTTTGATTTCTGTAAGTGATTGTTTCAACAGACATTAACTAAATAAATAATGCGTCTGCTGCGTGCCTTATGCCATGTTCCCATCGCTGCGTGAAATTATTGCTGACGTTCGTAATTGTGCATTAATTGGAGTTCGCAGTATTCCTTTATACCTAAATACTTTAAAAAACTTTATACGCAATAATGCCAGTAGGTAGTGCCACTGTCTGGTTTATTTGTTGGTAACAAAGAAACATGTGTTGATCATTGTTTAAACATATTGATCTTCTTCGGAAATCCCGCTGGTTTACATTTCTTCCTTGAAGTTGAAGTCAGACGAATGTAACATAATGAATGTTTGTGAGCAGTGGCCTACTTACACACAAAGGCTGGAGAGCCTTACACAACCCTGTGAATCGACCCGAGGCGTGTAAACGGAAAGATGTCACGCGAACTGCAAGCATTCGCACTCGCTATAACGCGTTCGCGAGTTCGAGGCCAACATAGACCTACTGGCTCTAGACATTGCCTTCCACTGGGAACTGCTGAGATGTGGCTAAACTGTGCTATACTACACAGTTTTTTGTCTTCAAACAGTCTGAGCGGTTTGCGGAAGCGGGAACAAAATGTACTTACAATTAAAAAGAGGACTAATTTAGCGACTTGTAGGAAGGGATAAGTTTCCACTTCCCAATAGTTTATATTAGGGTTAATAAACTTTGACCTACTTAATAAAAAATAACAAACTGCAGTAGCGTTAGTCGCATAGGTACTGTGCTCATGTGTTGTAGCGTAAAATAAATATTAATTTGTGACTTCCGTACATGACTGGCGCCGCGAGTGGGGCCAGCCGGGCCACAGGGAACTAAGTGGGTCACGCAGGAGCCCCAACCGACCCATCAGGTGGAGCGCTACATGCGAACCCGATGGCTCAGAACTGAGTCCGTTTACACAGGCTCGTTCGTGTAAAGCCAACTCATTAAAATGCATGACGGGCGCGGAGAGTGTTCCATTTTGCTTTTAATGTCTGACTGTCGCATTTTTTTGTCAACGTAGAAGTACTTACATCATGTTGCATAATGGCATTATTCCATCATTTGTATCCTTAATATTATGTCTTTACCTAAATATAATACTTGAGATCTTTTCTTCATGCGTCCTGTCACGGGTCAGTCGGACGAGAAGCACTCCTGTGTTGACACTGCATATCTAGGTACCACCTAGGTAGGTTGCCATGGGAGTGGAATAGGAAATTGCACGGCTGAACAGTTGATTACATTCCAGGCTCGACGCTCCAGTAATCCAATAGCTCCGATAGTTACCTTTGATGTAGTGCACTGAATTATCAGGCGGCTGACAGAGCGGGGTTCGTTACAAGCAAATCGCTGTGTTCTTTTTGTTATACTACTCATTCCATGCGACCACACCACAATCATGTTGTAATGGGAAAGCACGCTACCAGCTCCACTACCAGTGCTGTGGACTGGTGACCGAGACGAGCATACAATGTCGATCTGGTTTGAAAGTTTGTATTACGAGTGGCATTCCTAATAAGAGTGAATTATCGAGAAGTTATGAAACGAGCGTTACAATAGTTGCTTGCTGGAAGATAACTAGCTGATGTCGGAGAGGTAGTCTACCAGTCTAGTGAGTACCCACAGTTTCTGGCATATATCATAATATGTACCAGAAAGTAACACGCATAAATAATCGTAAACGTGTAATAATTAATTATAGTTATTTATTTTCAGCCATTAGGTATGCAGTATTTGATAGTGGTGCACTTCTTTAGTTGAGAAACAAACATAGTGGTTAGCAATTTTTTACAGTAGGACGATCGCCGTCAAGTCTCGAGTAAACTACACCGACTAAAGAATGTAACGTCTGCTGCGCACATTTTTCAACGAAAATAATAGCTCGATAAAGCGTAACGGATGATACCGGGATAAGAAATATTCGAGAAGGTAAGACCCGTACCGGCTACAGGCAGGGGTGGCGGATACTTAAAAAAGATTTTTATTTTTACTTTTTTGCCTGGGCGTTAATCAACAATAACTCATCCACCTTAGACTCGATCAATTGGTTTTATTTTTCATAATCATCAACGGGATTCGATCAACTTACAACTAACACAAGCAACAAATGTAATTTATGTCGCATTTGTAGCATAAAGTAACAGAACCTATTTGCTGGATAATTATAACGTACGTGATTGATTTGACGTTTCCTATTGCTCAATATTAATAACAAACTGTAAGAAAACTAGACGCTACATCCCTGTGGCGGGATTGAGCTGCATGTATTTATTTATGGCGTGGGTGTATGCGATCCTGAATTCTCGAGGTGTGCGTGGCCCTGCATAAGTAGATCTGATTTATGACTGGCGGGGTCGGGGTTTACAGCACGAGCTTTAGTAGGATATTGTTTTACTTTTGACAGATATTTCAATATTATCATAATAAGGAGACATTCTTTCCGACGTCGACGTTCGACGTCTTTGCGGCGCAAAGAATTGCCAGCAGCTGTGTGTCATTTTGCGCTTGTTGGGGAGCGATAATGTGGTTCACATTGGAGCTCCTTGCCTATTAATTACTTATCTATTACAACTTGAAAATACGTAGGGTGTATTCCGTAAGTTTCCGGAAACACAGACTACGGCAAGGGAACACAAATAAACCCAAAAACTCCTGTGCCAATTTTAAAGATTGTTTCACCATTGGAAATCTACTTGAGTATCAATACCACCATGAGTAACACGGGCTATATTTATTATCAGTAAAGAAATCTGTCCACCTGTGCGAAGCCGGGACAGGCCGCTAGTTAATTATACATGTATCTATCGATAATTCGATAGCTCAACCCTTCCTAGCATTACGTATTTACGTTCACATAACTAGTAGGTAAGCTAAAAATTATTATCTAAAGGATTTCTAAGATAAAGTCAAGATTACAATACATTATTTCAGTGAATATAGTGTAATTACCTACCTAATTAGCAATACGCGGGAGAGACAAACAGGTCGGATGCCCCTCTAGTTGTTTTTTAATAAATATTACCCCTATTGTGTGCTACTGGGTGTTGTGTCACGTGTTTTGAGTTTGAGTCTCGCTTTGTGTGGTCCACGAATTGTTGTTCCAGGACTTGGTGTGACATCTATGGGACTTTGTATCTTCGTTACATCTTAGAGGAGGGAAATGAAAAAAGACTATCAAATTTTTTCTCTCCTTTTTTGCTCATGACTAACTAAAAGTAGAGTACCTACAAGGTACAAGCAGCAAAATAAAATGTCGGGAAGTGATCGGCGGCGGCGACCTCTCGCGCCCGGCCTTAGTCGAGGCCATGGTTCGTAGCGAGAGGAACTGGGAAGCCGTCTCCTCTTTCTGCGAAGCAGTGATGCTCGCAAAGGAGGGGCCGGAGCGCGTGAGGGAAATATGTATCCTCCTCGCGCCCCAGCCGCCGCAGTAGGCGACATTCCAGGCGTCGGGGATCGAGAAATGATCTCCGGCCACCATAAGCGTCAGGTAATATAGACCATAGAGTAAAGGTAGTTCGCCGCCCGACCAGAACCAGATCCGAACCTACGTCGCGTAGGGTTCCACGCGCGCCTCAAAGAGCCAGTAGACCACTACAGACGGGGCCCTATAGGGTTGATGTTCAGCCAGGGTTGCTGGGTAAGCGCAATGAGGCACCGCGACCTCGGCCCAGAGCAGGAGAAGTAAGGCGTTTTTAGTCAGTAAGAGTCTGACACTCTCTCTCGCCTTACCATAGGGGTGAGAATTAGATGATTTTCCCCTGACAAAAAAAGCAAAATTAAATGTGCCTACGTGTTATGACTTGAAATTTTTTTATTGCTTGTCTTTTTTAAATACTTAGTAGGTAATGAAAATTAAAAAGTATGCCTCTAATGCTGTCAAAATGTAGGATGTAGAGACTTAACTCTACAAGCTCTTAGCTTCATAAACTATAAATTCAGCACTGTGCAGCTGATTTCGTTAGGTTTGCAGCTTCAACGATATTGTACCATGTACCTACATAATATATGTATATCACCAAAGATACACTTGCATGCAAAAAGTCGGTTGAAAGTAAAGCTATACTTAAAAAAACACTACTTAAAGAATACTTTATTCCAATTTCCACAGCTTGTATTCCCCCAACATGCTCTTATTGATTTGCAGCATGAGAGTTATCATAGAAAATATATTTTGATATTGCTTTTAGTAGAATAGTTGAGTTAAACTTTTTTTTTGTCTGTTGTTGGCAACTGAGTCTCCAATAGAGTTAAACCATTGAGATAGAAAATATTCCTATGTCAATGAGTTAAACCGTCCGTAGAGTGCCGTAGTATCTCAATGTGCCGTAGAGTTAAACTTAACTTTTGGAATGTTGGCTAACACAATTTTATTGACATTAGTTGATTCGTTCGGTAACTGTCAGTCGCCTATTTGTAATTTGTATCATTCATCACACAATACAAACGTACATAATATGATGTAAAATGACGTTTAGTTCGTAGTTAACATTCAAATTTGTTGATCTCTATGAATGAAAGAAAATGTACTTACCAGTTGCATGATTTTCAATCATTATCGATTGTTTCTCAGTCGTTGACTCGGCAACGTCTTTGTCAATTGGTACATCACTTTAAACGTCACATACAGCACAGCACACGATTTTCGTTACAGTATAGAATAAGAATACAGTTAATTTCTATAGCGAAGAAATAAAGTTGTTATTTCATGTTTGTATCAAATTGTTGTTTACCTAGCGGAGAACATTCCGTCCAGTATCTGATAAGAACACCGAAAATGATAAAACAATGAGGTAAGTAATTTTACTTGTTTATCGACCATCAGCTGTCTGCAATTCGGTTGACGGGCGTGGGATGACTGAATGCCACTGCCAACATGCAAATAATGTTTCATACAAACACTGTAGATGGGCTCCGATCGTAATTCCGCAGATAATACGTATTCCATGTGCGTGGATCCCGCGGTCATAAGAAGGTGGCGGGGCGCTGCAGCGCAGGGACAACATGACGCGCCCGGGACCTCCAAATGAGAACCTGCCTACGGTAAGTCGTAACATAAGTTACACTATAATGATCATATAGTATTCAAAATATGTACAAAGCAATTAATATTAGTATAGCTAAAAAATAAAATATCAAAATTTATTTAAAATAATTGAAATGATAATAGCAGAAATTGGATCTTTCATTGGGCATCCTACAGCTACATCCTGCAAGGTGACTTCTTAAAATAGATTTTTCAGTTGTGTTTCCTTACAGGAAACTTGTCTCTTACTTAGGGTAAGGTTGAAAATAGTTGGTGAGCAAGTGTAATTATTGTTTGAGCAGCTAGAACAACAAACAAATTTAATGAATATTGAGTAACATATATAAATGTTAGCTCTATATGTAGTATATGACTGTACTATGCTCCTTATCATTTCAGGCAGATAAACCTGGCTTATCTCGTGAATCTCAACAGCTCAGATTGATTGTAAACATGTAGTTATTCTATATTACCTGTAAAACAATATTGAATCCAACTACTGAATGGCAAGTTGTGGCCAAAACTATATTGCTAAGTGCTTACATGTTTGCTAGCAACTGGTCACATTCATTAACATTTGTATTTGGTTGCTTGATACTAATATGGTAGAGTACAATGAGCAGTCAGCGGTCAGTACCGTTGCCTTAAACAATATTATAACATATAAACTCATACAAGTTTTATGGCAAGTCAATAGTTATAGGTGACTTATGCTAAACTTTGCAATGCAGTTACATGCACTTGCAACTGTACAAGATATTTTCCCACTCTCATGTACCTTTAACACATTTCAATACCTATATTGATAAGATAGTGTGTGCTATAGATTTTAGTTTGTACTGGAGATGATTATATTATGTGTAGTGTAATATAATTATATTTAATTATGATATTGCTGTGCTTTGTAAACCAGTAAATATTTCAAAAAGTTTTTGTGAGTTGTGTAGGTGCTGCACTGTGTTCGCTTTGTGTTATAGGTTTGTGCTATTTCAAAAGGAATGCTCTGAAGCTGGGATTATTAGCTGACAGATAAATGTTAAACAAGTTAATGTAATGCATCACTCACTTAAAGTAATTCAATACAGCTCTATGGAATAAAAATATTAATTAAGTGACATATCTGTGATGTAACAAAAAGTTCTTGTGTTATGTGTGCATTTTGGGATGCAATAAACCTTTTGAGTATTGAGAGCATCCTTCCCACTTTCCATAGCTTTCTACCTGGGAAAGTCCTCTCGGTTGTATCAGTATTTTTACTGAAAAATTGCATGCCTTTGGTGTTCTGCTACTTATGTACATAAGTACAAATAAAATATTTGTTTTAGTTCTTTGAGTAAAAGTTGAAAGCAGATTTTTTGTTTTTTTTTTTATGTAATTTGTCGGCAAACAAGCAGACGGATTATCTGATGGTAAGCAATCAGCGCCGCCTATGGACACCCACAACGGAGGAGTTACGAGTGCGTTGCCGACCTTTTAGGGATTTGGAGATTTAGGGATTGAGGAGGGATTGGGGGCGGGGAAAGATTGGGCCTCCGGTAACCTCACTCATACGACGAAACACAACGCTGTGGTTGTTTCACGTCGGACTTCTGTGAGGCCGTGGTATCACTCCGGTCGAGCCGACCCATTCGTGCCGAAGCATGGCTCTCCCACACTTTAACGGCAGATGGTATATTGTGTTCTATTTGACTATTACACAACAATTCTTCAATTCTTTTTATAACACAGCAATATCATCTTGAAGTTAACACTCCATACTGTTCCATGTGAGCCAATTGAGATCAATTGATACACCTGAGTGGGGACTTGAAAGTGCCGAGTCTATAAACAATACCTATATGTATACACCATTATTGCAGTTATATCACGTAGTTAAGTTTGATGTGACTTTGTTTGCAGTGTGGCGAGTAGATGTGTCTCAAGTATGTCGTTGTTCAAAAACAGTGACAGTGTTAGTGCTTTACATTTTTATTGTATTATACCTGTAGCCAGTACCTGGTTGGTTCACTCTCTACCTATTTATTATAATTGATTGACTAGATAGACAAGCCTTGTTGTACCTGATTATGTACTCATGTGAATAAATGTCAAAAGTCTTTATCCTAAACCCTTTGTGTATAAATTGGAATATTGGATGCCAAAAAGTGGCAACATTATCAAAAATAAATCTTTCATTATTACTATCTTGCTTCCCATTCCACTTGTCACTATGTATATATGTACTAGTACAATAACAATTTGTTAATGACCTCTCTACACTACTTCTGCACCGCTGTCCCCCTCTACCTAACTCATTATTTTGTTGATAGTTTGTTTGTAAGGTGTGGTTCACTATTTTCAGATCAAACTGGTGGTGGTGGGAGACGGCGGCGTGGGGAAGAGCGCGATCACCATCCAGTTCTTCCAGAAACTGTTCGTGACGGACTACGACCCCACCATCGAGGACTCGTACATACAACACACCGAGGTGGACGGCCAGTGGTGCATCCTCGATGGTGCGTGACTGAGTTGCTGCGACACTACACTAGTCTTTATGGAGCTGTCATTCCGCTCGTATTGTCCGCAGTACTGGACACGGCGGGGCAGGAGGAGTTCAGCGCGATGCGGGAGCAGTACATGCGCAAGGGGGACGGCTTCCTGCTCGTGTACTCCGTCACCGACAAGCAGAGCTACGAGAACATCCGACACTTCCACACGCAGATACTGCGGGTCAAGGACAGGTGAGACGGGCCGGGAGGGGAGGGAGAACTTGTAGTCTGGTTCAGTAATGAACAGCGAGACATATTGTGGTATTCGCAGGGAGACGTACCCAATGCTGCTGGCCGCCAACAAGGTGGACCTGGTGCACGTGCGCGCCGTGAGCGAGGAGGCGGGCCGCGAGCTGGCGCGGCAGCTGGGCGCGCCCTACATAGAGACCAGCGCCAAGGAGCCGCCGCTCAACATCGACGCCGCCTTCCACGAGGTGAGTGTCTCCCCCCTCCCCGCGCCCCCAGCGTCCCCCCGCCCGCACTGAGTGCTCTGTACGGCCGGTGTTGCAGTTGGTGCGCATCATCCGCAACCACCCGCAGCAGGAGGACAAGCAGCGCCGCCGCCGCAAGCTGGCGCGCTGCGCCATGCTCTGAGCCACGCCGCCATCACGCTGCCACCACGCCGCCACCACGCTGCGCCGCCCGCATCACGCAACACGTTTACGTTGCACCAAACTAAAGTATTGCATAACAAACAACACATGTATGGTAAGCTATACTGGGCACCACTGTAGTACGAGGCAGTCTGCAATAAGCGGCGCGGTGCTACCTGTAAGCGGTCGCGAAAGCTGTTTGTTGATGACCACAGGCCTGTACAGTGGGTGATGGTACACGCGACACGTACATTAAATATGTGACATTGTATATTGACGTCAGAATATAAACACAATGTCTAACAAATATTTTGAAATCGAAGCTTTAAAGGTTTCTACTGACTAGATTGTATCACGCGAGAGTGAAGGCATGGAGCTCCTCTAACAACATTAATGCAATGTTTAAATAAGCCTCACCTGTACGAATGCACAAACGCGGTGGTCACGTCTAGAGGACGGTAAACCTAACATTGTTTATAAGATGGTCTGTTTATTTCATATATCACGTACCAATGCATAGCATTTATTTTAGCTCAGTAAGTGTCCATAGTGTAAGCAGACATCGTGACCAATACATCGTGCAGATGTAATAGTTGTTGTTCTAGTTAGTATTATTTTGTTGCTTTAAGTTACGCGCACCGACTGTCGGATCTCGACCTACGCATCGCTAACAATTTATTCGAGTACCCACTGATTGCTTATTCGAGTCACGAAGAATCCTTAAAAAAGAAATGTAGTGTTAGTAGCAGACACTGCCTGCTGCCCTGTTGTGTGAGCCTAAGTAATTCGGTAGAAGGCAGGCAGCGACAATTATCTAGCGACAGTTGGCGCTAGCGGGGAACATGTCGGCCGTGGCTCGGTACAGTGTGCGCGTACCTTAACGTCATAACCAAAGCAAGTACAGCGGCTCGACACGTACACACGCACACATACACACTGTGTACACACACGTCACACTAGACAATAAATGACTTCCATCCCCCCCCCCAGCCGCAGCCCCCGCAGTGGCCGCAGTCCCCAACGCAGTGCTGTGATCGAGCCGCAGTACGTAGTATAGTGCACAAACATTGTTATACACACGCCAAAGAAATTTATAATTATCTAGCTTTTATTTATATTGTAAGTAAGGACTATATTCCAATGTGTAAAGTTAACTGTAAGAGCAACAGTTGAGGCGGCGCCCGCATCCCACGCACCGACACACACACCCACACGCACACACACACTCAACCGTTACCTGACAATAATTTCACGTGTGCGTGAGCTGGACACTGGCAGAGGACAGCACTCGGCACTCCGTGGCCGTAGTGGCGTGCACACAATAATATAAGGCTGAACCATTCTCCGCCAAACTGTTTGGACACACGTTCCAAATACACCATTCTAAGCTATGCTCAAACTGGCCTCGCACTTCCACTGCACTTTACATTTATTCTAAGCTTCTCTACAGTGTTCGTTGGGCACTCATTAGATGGCGCCGCTGTATCCACCTACCTAACGGTCAGGTGAGCTACCACAATATCCGACGCTGGCTCCAGCCTCAACAAAGCCGACGTTACACCACGTCACCTAGACCTAAGTACATACAAGTAGTCTACGCTAACGAAACACTGTTAAGGAATTGAACTCTGGAATAATTGAGTGTTCGAATTGTAGCATAAATATGTAAGAGATATGGAGAGTTGTAAACAATACTTTTACTGCTGACTAATGTAGTGGACGGAATGTTATGTTATTCTTACTTTAACAAGAAGTTGCTAGAACACCACGGCCCGCTCTCTTCGCAGGCGGCGAGTGTTGCGCTGCGTGCGATGACCAATAGTAAAATTATCTTAATTACTGGATGCGACGGAATCGTCTGGATGTCCTGCTGATATGTTTTAAACGACTTCCAAAAGAAAGAGGATGTGCAGTGTGCCAACCGTACAATCGATATTATTGTGTTATTTGCATTATGATAGAGATGAGTTACCGACTACGACTAGTTACAGCAGACTCCACCGTCGCATCGCCACTCGCTATACACTAAATGGAACTGAAGAAACCCTCGGACAACGCATAGCGCGTTGTTGTTGTAACCGCCGCGATATGCGCGTGCGCACGCCCCATACACCAGTCAGTCGTGTACTATGGACACATAAACGTGTAGCCATTGTCTTTCTAGATTTCTATATTATTTCACTACTGGCTTCCAAACCTCCAATACAAAACATACTATTTATTTTAATATACATTGAACAATATTTTTTTAACAAGATGAACATATTTTATATTGCTTTATTGTTGTTATCCTTTGATCTAGTCCTTTGGGATGGAGTCCAGAATACGAATATTAATATATTTAAAGAGATTAAATTAGTTCTGCGCTGCCCCGTTTAGCATCGGCGTAATGATAAATGATCGTATATTGTTGTTACTATATGTTTTGTATGTTGTAACATATAATAAATGTAGGAAACTAATGAAGCTGTTTTATTACTACTCGACCCCCTGCTATGTGTACTGTCTAGGTAAAAATTATTTCCTTTCATGTTGTACATTAACAATTACATAAATATGAATGTCCTAACTTTACGGCAACAAATGTAGTTTGGATGAACTCTAGCACCTAATGAAAGATTAGAAGAACAAACCTTTTTTGTGAGGGAATATCATCAGATACCTTGTCTCCACTCAATCAGGGAAGGCGAGAGGGAGTGTCAAACTCTTACTGACTAAAAGCCCCCGTTCCTTCTGCTCCCGGCCGAGGTCGCGGGAACTTACTGTGCTCGCCACGCAAACGTGGCTATAAAAAATATATATTATAATAACTTTCTTGATATTTTTCTACTGCTACATGACTTCTGTTTCCCGTGTAAGTTAGTTACTGTACAATCTGAGAAAAAAATAAAATGGGTCTCTCGAGGTATAACTACGAATATGTAGCAAAAAACAACGACAACTGTTGTGGCAACAGAGACAAAAACCGACATGCGAAAACAAAAATAAATTTAAAATTTACTCAAGGAGGTTTAAGAAAATTATTAAACTTACGCAAAAAGCTCAGAATAACAACTTAATCAATAACTCAAAAAACAAATCCAAAACGGCCTGGCAAAAATTTTATGATAGTAAAATCGTAAGAGAACCCATTTCTCAAATAAAAACAGGAGATGAAATAATATCAAACCCTAATTTAATAGCTGAATCTTTTAATAACTTTTTCATTGAACAAACCTCTGGCATATCTAATCATACGTTACGCGATACCACTTACTTAAGTATAAACCCGCATTCGATATTTATAGCCCCAGTTATACCCCAAGATGTAAAACGTATACTTAAAAACCTAAAAAATAAAAAGAGCTCTGGCCTTGATGGCATTTCAACCACAGTTATCAAATTTGTTGCACATTGCATAGCTGAGCCTTTTGCTCACATTATTAATGTAAGCATACAGTCTGGCGTATTCCCAGAAAGTCTCAAAAGCGTAAAAGTAATACCAGTACCTATATATAAAAAAATTATAAATATGAAATGGTAAATTATAGGCCAATTGCTCTTATTTCTATATTCTCAAAGATTATAGAAAAAATCATCTATGAATCTCTTGACAGCTTCCTAACTCGTGTTCCTAACTAAATACCACATACTATGTAATGAACAAAAGGGCTTCAGGAAAAACAAAAATATCAACATGGCCATCTTTGATTTTCTCCATGAAATAATGCCTAAAGTAGATTCCAAAATACCGGTATGTGCAATATATGCCGATATGTCGAAAGCTTTTGACTGCGTGGACCACGATATTCTCTTAACCAAACTAGATGCGTACGGTATTCGTGGCAATGCTTTAAACTTAATAAAAACTTACCTCAAAGGCCGTAGACAATGTACAGAGATATCAAGCCTGTTTTTAAAATCTAAGAAGGAAATAAAATCTTTATCGTCATTCAAAGAAATAAAATATGGAGTACCGCAGGGAAGTGTCCTCGGACCTTTACTTTTCCTATTATATATTAATGACCTGTCACGTCAATAGTTTTATTTCCAGACGACAGTATTTCAATTGTTTCATGTATCAATAAAGACTCCTACATAAATGACATCAATAACTCAATCAGCAGATTAATAACATGGCTTCACAATAATAACTTTATAACTAAGTTATTAATGTGAAGTGAATCTGCAAAAACTAAAACTATGCACTTTTACCAACGAATGACCACAGGTGACATGGATATCAACTACAATGGCCAAACTATCGATAAAGTGAATAGCACAAAATTTTTAGGTATCCTAATTGATAGCCAGTAAACATGGAAGCCGCAAGCAGAAGATATCTGTAAACGTTTAAGTACAGCCGCGTTTATGTTATACAATCTATCCAAAAAAGTTAATCTGTCAACAATATTGGTGGCCTACCACGGTCTTGTGATTTCTATTTTAAGGTTTGGTGTAATATTTTGGGGTTACTGTAGTGAACGAGAAAGTATTTTTAAAGCTCAAAAGCGCTGTTTGAGAGCTATATTTGGCCTCAAAGTTGCTGACAGTTGTGTCCCTATATTTAAGTCGCAGAAATTACTAACTTTCCCATGCCTTTATATCCTCGAATTAGCAATATTTGTTAAAACTAACCGTAATTTATTTGCAACATTAACAGAAACTAGAAAACGAAGTACATCATTAAGATCACAATATCAGAACTTACTGTGCACAGGCACATTTAAAACTAGTCTACTAAAAAAAAGTGTGATATGTATGGCTCCTGTTATCTTTAATAACATTCCTGATCACATTAAAACCTTGCCATTGATGAAATTTAAAAAATGTTTTACATTATTACTTGTAGACAAATGCTATTATTCTGTTCAGGATTTCTTAAATGATACATTATAATCACCTTTTTGCCTTATTTAACTCAGTGGTATAATAATTATTGTATTTGCATGCCAACAAGGTAGAATGTACACGGTTATTTATTATGTTATTTTCGATCCTATTTGTATGTACCTGCATTCTTAGGAAATAAAGTCTTATTCTATTCTATTCTAGTGAAATCGAGCGATCCAGTGCCCGTGCCACCGCCAATGAGACCTCTGAGTGTGCATGACAACTCCCAGCTGACACAAGTACCTATATTTTACAACCCATTCGAAGCTTGTCTCTCCCACACTTCAAAACGTATAAATACCTACGTACTTATAAACGTGAATGAATACGATAGTTTTCAAGTAGTCAAATACAATACTTTTATTCAAATGTCAAAAACGATACTATACTGAGTTATGACGTCATAGTATTTTGGCGAGTCCCAAATATCTTACTTATTGCTTAAAAATTAGCTTAAAAATATCTAAAATTTAGTGTTGGTATCCATCGGTCGATGAATAAAAATAAAGATATTTTCAATATTTTATTTTAACTATTGAAACGTCGAATTAGTTTATTTTTGACGTAGGAAACTACCCAATTATTATGTAAGTAAGTCTTTACCTACCACGAGACCCGGTCATTTAGGAGCCATACGAGGCTAACGAAAATATCGCAGAGGCTATTCAGGTAACTTTAACTAAACAAAACGGAACACAAACTGGCGACTATATAGTCCCTGTATGCCCTAAGGAAATGCTCCCAAGAATAGTCCTTGGTTAGTGTAGGTTGGGCTATTTTTTTCTATGTGATAGGTCGGCAAACGCGCATACGTATTACCTGATGCTGAGCAATCAGCACCGAGATTATTTTTACATAATTTTTTATTGCTGGCCTTTTTGGGGATTAGGGATTTACAGACTTAGAGATTCAAGGAAGGTTGCTAGAAGTACCAAAGGATAAAAGTAACTGCTACTACTAGTAAAAGTCAGCCAGAAGTCGAAGACCTGTTCCTCGTCATTGTTCACTTCGGCACTGTACAATGCCACAGCATGGGTCCCTTTTGTGTGTAAATTGCTCTGTAACGTAGTTGAAAAAACTAAACGAAGAGAACTAGGAGAGCCCTCTTTGATATAAATTATGAATGACTGTCATTGTTCGCAGACTCGCACGTAGTTATTAGTCAGTCATCACGTCCCTCTTTCAAAGAAATCAAATGCGGACGAGGTGCCGTTAGATGACGCTTGTTTCTACACAAAACCGAAGTAGTATCCATGCTATATTTTGATCAAAGATGGCGCGACCTGTCCTCTTCAGAACGATGGCGAAGGTACTAAATAGCTGAAAAGTTATTTTTATCGCCAGATGTCGCTTGATACACTCGATCGTTATTACTGACCTATTTGTAAATGTTATCGAAATGTTTTTCTTCGGTAGGTACTTAAATTGTACAATGGACAATATTTTCCGGCGAGTTCCAATACTAATTAGGCGTAATAATGCGATACTTGGCGGAACAAAGAGTAAATGGGCCAAGGCGGCGGTAGCTATGGGCCAGCGCTAATCTGTACCGCACGTGAGGCGGGTACTAACGCCGTGCTTTTGTTTACGCTAATTATTTAGCGACGTGCGGACACACCACAATACTCTGCGGCTTCCGTTTGTGTTGTTTCACTACTTCTTTCGATTTCAGTGTTTATAAAATAAAGGTGGATCCCGCGGCGCTGGTGGGCGATGCATTATGTCCACCTTTCTCGAAGCAGCGATGCTCGTGACAAAGGAGGCGGAGCACTTGAGGGAGCTCTCCTCCTGACACCCCAATCGCCGCAGTAGGCGACACTCCGGGCGTCGGGATCGAGGGACGATCTCCGGCCGGCGGGTAAGGTAGCTTGCCGCTGGCCGCCCGACCAGAATCAGACCCAAGCGTATCTACTACGCTTAGCGTTCCGCGCGCGTCTCAGAGAGCCATTGACCACCACAGGGACAAGCTCAATAAGGTACCGCGGCCTCGGCCTAGAGAGGGATAAGGATCGGGGGATTTTCGTCAGTAAGAGTCCCACATAAAAACTCTTCTCAATTGTTTCATGGCCCGGTGGCCTCCATCATCATTGTTATTAAATAGGGGGCGCGTCTCTTATTATCGAACACCGGGGAAAATTGAAAGCCATGGCTATTATAAGGAATTTTAAATAGGGACTTGAAATTGTCCAATTTGTGGATCTACTTGGAATAACATTGAAACACCGTATTTAGGGCAACTAACTTTTCTGACAAAAAATAAAGTATATGTATTTGGGCTTAAGAAGAATTTTAAACAGTATTTTCGACAAAGAAATAAGTAAGTATTTTATTTGTTCAAGTCTTTAAGAGGAAGCTTTCCGCACAGCTTATTAATTCAGAATCCACCACAACTTATTAATAGACCACCACAGACTGGGCCCTATAGGAGTAGTGTTCAACCAAGGTTGCGGGGCAAGCGCAATGAGGCACCGCGGCCTTTGCCCAGAGCAGGAGAAGGAACGAGGGAGTTTTTAATCAGCAAGAGTCTGACACTTTCTCTCGCCTTACCCTGAGCGGGAGCAATCAGTCCTGACACTTTTGTCTTGAATTGCTTACATTGAAATTTACAGATTTTTCAGAAACGCCATTATTGTAATTT